ATCACATTGCTTGCACTTTCGATTTTAAGTGTCATAATCGAGTACCTGGCCACATTGAACTCCAATGAGAGCTCCGTAGCCGCTGAGGCTGTCATAATCTCTTCCTGTTCCTCGAGTAGGCCACCCCATATCGTATGATGCCATAACACGAACAATCCAACTACAGGGAATAGCAGTTAGATCACCAGATAATATTGTTTTTTTTTGTTCATTAGTTATATCAGGAATAACGAAATCTTCAGGGAAGTCACGGGCGCCATAGTCAATAGCAGACAATATTACTTTTACCTGATGTTCTGTCAAGTTAGGCAACAGACAATTCTCCGGTGTTCCTTCTGGCCTGTTAACGAAAAACGATCAAACAAGAGTTATGAAAAGGAGAAATGAATGAAAACATTTTTAGTGATCAAGGTTATATGTTGGGTCATGGGATTCGGGGCTTTGAAATAATTAATATTTCAATCAAATTAATTTTATTACTCCATACATAGCCTCACCTCGAGGCAGTAATAAATTAAATTTAAATTATGTACAATTGATTATTAAATTACTCATTTCAAATTATAAAAAAATGACTTCATTTAATCAGGCTTGAGTCTAACCAATAAAGCCATTTATTTAACAATTTAAAAGAATTAGGGTGAATGGCTGGGTGGAACAAGTTTTTTCTTTATTTTATTTTGCATCATAACTAAGCCCAGCACTACTCTTCAACTAATCAATATACTTCAAATTAAATGAAATGTTTAAATTGTATTTTCATGCATTAATCGATGAAATTATGAATGGATAAACTACAATAAAAAGCGGAAAGCGATGAATGATAAAGCGAAGCACCTACAAAGCGAAAAAAAAACGCAAAACGGAAAAAACCTACAAGGATTTTTTTATGGATAGGAATTTTTCAAGAGTCAAACGTCTTTCTAACGCGGCAGCAGTTTTGCAACTCCTTTCGGCAACTTGTCTCACAGCTTCTCCAACCAGCTCTTCATGCGTCTAGAGCAAGTGATTATTGAAAGGTGGCATATCCAAAACCCCTAATAATTTATTAAGATGTCTCCAATCCATACCAGCATCGATAAGTCCTGAAATAATATAAAATTTTTAATTTATAGAAATTGATTTCATTCACTTCTTGACAAAAACAAAGTTTTTCAAACTTACCTAGTGCGATTCGTGCATTAACATCATACATTGTTTTGCCATCTGGTGCCGTAAATGTTTTATCCGTGGTGATTGAATTTTCGAGCAAACATTCTTGACAATGGATTATCAAGAGTGAAGCTAGCCCATGGCGATTTTCCTCAATGATGTTCGCTAATGATAAGATCTGCCCGCATTTTTTGCATCGGTCATTCTGAGCCCATAGATCTACATCAATTATTCTACGTCCAAATACCATTTTCTGTTTTTTAGAAGCAGCTTTGGATTCAGGCGGCAGATCCTCACTCGTTGATTTCTTTCGTATCCTAAAATTTTGCTGTTGTTTCAGTCGCAGATTGTAGACCGCTTCTGTCACACATTTATTATTCCACATAAAACGCTTTTTTTTCCTATTATTTTTAGCATTATTATCACAACTTGTCTCTTCCAATTTCCTCTTTGCCGCATTTGTCACTTCACTTTCTTCAGGATTCATGATTCATAATTTTTATAAATAAAACATTGATCATGACATTTCATCACAAAATAATTGTATGAGGTTATATTACTTTTCCCACGAGTTTTGAGTCTACGCTACTGGACACGGGTAACTAGAGGGCCCCCAACGTTGCCGCGATTATTCCTCATTTTTCTTTTTTTATTATTCAAATTTGTAATCATCTAAAAATAATCAAGAGTAAAATATGATTATATCTTCGATAAAGACTCCGTCTCATATAAATTTCAATCATATTTATCGAGTAAAAAAAATTTTAATATAACTGGACAGTGTACAGGGCTAAAAAAATATCTACAACGCTCAATGTATAAGCATAGGGAAATCTCCCCCACTCTCATTCATCCCCACCCTACTTCTAAACAACTTTAAATGGGAAAGCCTCAAGGGAGCTGAAGCACAAAACTATCACCGCCCTAGACCAATTAAAATACGAACTAGAGGCTCTATATGGGCAGCGTAAATCGCTGGCTGCCCTACAAATGGAGTTCAATTCCCTGAAGCAAAACCCGGGAGAAGACGTCACCACGTACACGAGAGTTGAAAAAATAACAGCAGATCTCGTGGAAAAATTGTGCGAGCTGGTACCCACAGAAAGGGATGCGCAAACGGCCGAAACCGTCACGCGCAAGTGCGCACAAGCAAATTTCGGAAACGGACTGAACGGCCAGGTGCAGATCTTAGTGCGATCAAGAAATTATAAAACCCTTCATGAGTCGGTTGCTGGTGCCATCGAAATTAGCAGAATGGTGCAACCAAAAGGAACTACAACGGGACAGCCCCAAAACGCGAGGAGGTCCATGCAAGGCCTAGCGGCAATGGGAAAAACCTGTTACAACTGCGGTAACGCCGGGCACATGGCACGAGATTGCAGGCGTAAGTCGGGCCGCGTCAGCCTACCGGCACCACAACAAAATAAGGCCATCAACCAGGTCCATGTTGTCTGCACATACTGTAAACTCAAGGGTCACACTTGGAAAGAGTGTCGGAAGTGGGCGAAGAGGAAACAAGAGAATGAACACGGATCGACGCGAGATCCGCCCCGGCAAGACGTTGCTGATAGGCGGAAAGCGCCCGATTCTGGTCAAACATCCTCTAGCCGCGAAAATACCGGTCAGCAAACCTTAGGTACTTTAAGCCTCAACACGCTCCTTACCGAGAAACAGACAAGAGAATCTCGCCCGGGAAAGGAAAGAAATCCGAAGCGAACGATGCAACTATTTCAGGTAACCTTGCCTTCAAATACCGCATCCGCAAGCGATTTCGACATCGCGTCGCCTCACGCAGTCGGAGGAGTGTTGACGCTGAAGGCCGACACCGGAGCGCAGTGCATCATCATCAAAAAGAGCTGCCTGAAGCCGAATACCGTCATCCAAGATAACGACATAGAATTACAGGGTGTGGGAGGTGAGAAATTCACGCCCTTGTGCAAGGCAGAAGTTGTCCTCAAAACCCTAGCAGTCGACGTGAAACACTGGTTTTACGTGGTACCAAACGAGGTTTCATTGACCGTAAATGGACTGCTGGGGATGGGATTCATCAAGGGACACAAGGCGGACATAATCAGCGGAGAAACCTTCAAACTTTACGGCCATTGCATGCCTCTGGTAGATGGGAAGTCAAAAATGAAACTTCCTCCTAGAAGCGAGACTATCGCTTACGTAGCTACCACCAGCCGGAACGTCGGACTACTCGCAAAGTTCGAAGTCAGTACGAGCGTTATCATAGGCTCGTGCTTGACGCAGCCGATAGGTAACAGCTGTGCAGTGAGCCTGGTCAACATGACCGAGTTAGAAGCGGAGGTGCAACGCCCGACCGTGAAACTCGAGCCGATGGATGCCCCCACTGAAGAAGGAGGCGATAAGACCGAGACGTTGCGCGTAAGCGCTATGAGCATGGAAAGAGGTGCCAGACGCATAGAGCGATTACAAAGTGAACTCGATCTGGCGCACCTCAACAGCGAGGAGAAAAGGGCCCTTGCAGGACTAATCAGCGAATATGAAGAGATATTCCACCTGCAAGGAGACGAACTCCCGTGTACCCACATGGTGGAACATCGAATCCCTCTAAAGGAAGGGGCGAGACCCACCAAAGTGCACCCGTACCGCCTGCCTGAAATCCACAAGAAAGAGGTCGAAAAACAAACAGCGGAAATGCTGGCTGACGGCATAATACAGCCCAGTAGGAGCCAGTGGAACGCCCCTTTGCTAGTAGTAGCAAAGAAGCCTGATGCAATGGGCGAGCGACGTATGCGAGTGGTGGTGGATTTCCGAAAGCTAAACGAAGCCACCATAGGAGACTCATACCCACTGCCCAGCATCAACGAGATATTGGACCAGTTGGGAAAGGCACGATATTTTTTAACCTTGGATCTCGCCTCGGGATTCCATCAGATCCCAATGGCGAAGGAAGACAAGGAGAAAACGGCGTTCTCTGCACCGCAATGGCACTTCGAGTATAATCGGATGCCTTTCGGCCTAAAAAATGCTCCCCCTACTTTCCAACGGTTAATGAACTCCGTACTAGCGGGACTCCAAGGAATAAAATTCTACGTCCATCTAGACGACATAGTGGTTTACGGAAAGAACCTAGACGAGCACAACGCTCGCCGGAGAGAGGTGTTCCAGCGCCTAAAGGAAGCCAAATTGGCCATACAACCAGGTAAGTGCCAGTTCCTACGAAGGGAAACGCACTACCTAGGCCATATTATCTCGGAAGAACGTGTGCGAGCGGATCCAGAAAAACTCGCTGCGGTAAAAGAATTCCCTGTACCAAAAGATGTCAAGAGGGTTCAGTCTTTCTTGGGCTTGGCCGAATACTACAGGAAGTTCATCAGGGACTTCTCGAAACTCGCCAAGCCCCTCACCGAACTCATCCGGAAGGATACGAAGTTCGAATGGACCGCAATCTGAGATGCCGCGTTCGAAGAATTGAAAAAGGCACTGACATCAGCACCAATTTTACAATATCCGGATTTTGAGAAGCCTTTTATCGTGACAACAGATGCATCCGACAAGGCAATCGGCGCAATCTTGTCTCAGGGCAAGGTCGGAGAAGACCTGCCAACCTGCTACGCAAGCCGAACGTTGTCTAAAGCGGAGCTCAACTACACCACGACGGTTCAAGGTCGTGACGGACCATCAGCCGCTGACATGGCTGTTTGGAGTATAGGGCCCGGGCTCCCGACTCATCAGATGGAGAATTAAACTATCGGAACATGAGTTTGGCGTGGAGTACAAGGCCGGGAAAAGAAACACTAACGCGGACGCGTTAAGTCGTATTTACGCTACGACAAGGGCCCAGAAGAAGGCGAAGGAAACCTCCGAGCCGAACGGCAGCCTAGGGTCAGAAGAAAGCGCGAAGGACTCTGAACGTCCCAGCACAAAGCTGTGCGGTTGGGGCAGAGATAGCGCAGAAATCCGTATGGAAAGAAGCTCGGAAGAGCAGAGCGAATGCTCATCGTCCTGTAAAGAAGAGGACAACAGTTCGAACGACGAACTTGACTATGGCAGCGGCGTAACCTGCCCTACGGTAGAAGATCGTGAGAAAATCATTAAAGAATACCACGATGCCCCTCTAGGAGGGCACCAGGGCGTCAATAGAACGCTACAACGTGTTCGAATGAAGTACGACTGGCCAGGAATCCGAAGGGAACTGGAAGATTATATCTCCACGTGCCGTAAGTGCCAGGTGAACAAATTGCGTAAAAAGGGAAGGGTCCCAATGATAATAACAGACACACCCGCACGGGCCTTCGAAAAAGCAGCGGTCGACATAGTAGGACCGTTGCCAGAGACAGCATCCGGAAACAAGTACATACTTACCTTTCAGGTAAGTATATAGTGAGGAATATAGTGAGGCGGTAGCCATCCCAAATGAAGAATCCAGAACTGTGGCGAAAGCCCTCGTTGAAGAGATCATCTGCAGATATGGAACGCCAGAGTCGATACTCTCTGATAAAGGAACGAATTTCCTGAGTTCGACCTTCAAGAAGGTATGCAAGTTGCTGAGAATTAAGAAGATCCAGACGACTGCATATCATCCGGAAAGCAATGGCGCATTAGAGCGATCTCATCGCACGCTCGCAGAATATCTTAAGAACTATATAGACGAGGATAAAGGAAATTGGGATGAATGGCTACGATACGCAATGTTTACTATAATACTACGCCTCATACGGCGACCGGATTGTCACCGTCTACGCTAGTGTTCGGTCGGGAAGCAGAGCTCCCGACAGCAGTGAAACAGGAGCCGCGAAATTCCTACTTCTTAGACGACTACGCACTACTAAGGGAAAGGCTACGCGCCGCATGGACGGTAGCCGGGGCTAACGTACGTTACGCCAAAGAAAGGTCTCAACTGACCTACGACGTGAACGCGAAAATAGAAGAATACCGCATCGAAGATAGGGTCCTACTCCACAACGAAGCCGTACGACGTGGGCGTTCAGCTAAATTGACCCCGAAGTGGATAGGCCCGTACAAAGTAATCGCGAGAAATTCGGCGGTTAACTACACTATAAAGATGGGTTGGAAGACCATTCTGGTTCACGCAAACCGCCTAAAAGACTTCACTGAGCACTAGGTAGGAAGCGGGATGGCCACTGCCGGAGTACGAACGGAGGTAGTCCAAGAACACAACAACTTAAGGATAGGCGCGGATCCTATTTATTGACTGGTTACATCTGTCGCACCTGCCCGCATCTAAGGCACTCCTCCCCGAATAGCCGGATCAATTCCAGGAAGTCCGGAGGATCTTCGTCGCCCGCGAAGACCCCAAGTCCCCAAAGCGCATCCACCGTCCGCCGGCACATGAATCTCCGGCGGCGGAGCTCCCTGAGCACCCGGACACCGAATTTCTCGGCCGGGCCCCGCCGGTCCACCCTCGACGGGATGATTAGTTGGTTCTGAGGAGTAAAAAAGCACGGCGTTAGGAAAAATGCAGCGAACCACTTCACACGCACGAAGAAAAGGGAAAATAGAACACGGAATGGGAACGGTTCACGACCTCGTGAAACCGGACTCAGCGCGTAGGCGCAGGGGATTGATCGACGGGTTAGGATCAA